GTGTGTGTGTGTGTGTGTGTGTGTGTGTGTGTGTGTGTGTGTGTGTGTGTGTGCGCGCGTGCGTACGCGCCGATAAAATACACACATGAATAAAAACACATACAAATCTAAACACATACATGAATACACCAAGAGCACTAATAATGAAAGAAAGGTAAACGGATAAAAAGAGAAATTCCTTTCACCCTCGACAAACCCGCTTCTGGGACAGGCTCAGAACACAAAAAGGAAGAGAGAATTTGTATCAAATAAAATATCAAATAAAAATGGAAGATGGAGGTGATAATTGCAATAATGATGGTGATGACGTTGATGTTGATGATGAGTTTTTGTAGATGATAAAAATGGAAGAACAACAACGGATAAAAAAAGAAATTCCTTTCACCCTCGACAAACCCGCTTCTGGGACAGGCTCAGAACACAGAAAGGAAGAGAGAATTTGTATCAAATAAAATATCAAATAAAAATGGAAGATGGAGGTGATAATTGCAATAATAATGATGATGATGATGATGATGATGATGATGATGATGATGATGATGATGATGATGATGACGATGACAATGACAATGACAATGACAATGACAATGACAATAACAATGACAATGACGATGACAATGATGACGATGACGACAATAATGATGATGGTGGCAATGATGATAAATTGATGATGAGCTGAAGATGATGGTGATAGTGATGATGTTGATGTTGATGTTGATGAGAATAATAATGATGATGGTAGTGTTGATGATGTCAGCCAGTTTGTTAACAGTATGATAGGCCTGACACTTCCACTTCCATGTGTGTCCATGTGTGTCCATGTGTGTGTTCATGTCTGTGTCCATGTGTGTGTTCATGTGTGTGTCCATGTGTGTTCATGTGTATGTCCATGTGTGTGTCCATGTGTGTCCATGTGTGTGACCATGTGTGTCCATGTGTGTGTTCATGTGTGTGTCCATGTGTGTGTCACTGTGTGTGTCACTGTGTCCATGTGTGTGTCTATGTGTGTGTCACTGTGTGTGTCACTGTGTCCATGTGTGTGTCACTGTGTCCATGTGCGTGTCACTGTGTCCATGTGTGTCCATGTGTGTTCATGTGTATGTCCATGTGTGTGTCCATGTGTGTCTATGCGTGTGTCACTGTGCGTGTCACTGTGTCCATGTGTGTCCATGTGTGTCCATGTGTGTTCATGTGTATGTCCATGTGTGTCTATGTGTGTGTTTATGTGTGTGTCACTGTGTGTGTCACTGTGTCCATGTGTGTGTCACTGTGTGTGTCACTGTGTCCATGTGTGTGTCACTGTGTCCATGTGTGTGTCACTGTGTCCATGTGTGTGTCACTGTGTCCATGTGTGTATCCATGTGTATGTCCATGCATGTGTCCATGTGTATGTCCATGTGTGTGTCCATGCGTTTGTCTATGTGTGTGTCCATGTGTGTTCATGTGTGTGTCACTGTATGTCCATGTGTGTATCTATGTGTGTGTCACTGTGTGAGTCACTGTGTTCATGTGTGTGTCACTGTGTGTGTTCAAGTGTGTCCAAGTATGTCCATGTGTGTCCATGTGTGTCCATGTGTGTGTCACTGTGTATTCATGTGTGTGTGTGTGTGTGTGTGTGTGTGTGTGTGTGTGTGTGTGTGTGTGTGTGTGTGTGTGTGTGTGTGTGTGTGTGTGTGTGTGTGCGTGTGTGCGTATGTGTGCATGTGCATGTGTTCGTGCGTGTGTGCGCGCGCGCCCGCGTGTGTGTGTGTTTGTGTGTGTGTGTGTGTGTGTGTGTGTGTGTGTGTGTGTGTGTGTGTGTGTGTGTGTGTGTGTGTGTGTGTGTGTGTGTGTGTGTGTATGTGTGTGTGTCCATGTGTGTGTGTCCATGTGTGTGTGTCCATGTGTGTGTCCATGTGTTTGTGTTGGTGTGTGTGTAGGTGTGGGTGTGCATGTGGGTGTGCGTGTGGTTGTGAGTGTGCGTGTGGGTGTGAGTGTGGGTGTGAGTGTGGGTGTGCATGTAGGTGTGCGTGTGGGTGTACGTGTGGGTGTACGTGTGGGTGTGCGCGTGGGTGTGCGTGTGGGTGTGCGTGTGGGTGTGCGTGTGGGTGTGCGTGTGGGTGTGCGTGTGGGTGTGCGTGTGGGTGTGCGTGTGGGTGTGCGTGTGGGTGTGCGTGTGGGTGTGCGTGTGGGTGTGCGTGTGGGTGTGCGTGTGGGTGTGCGTGTGGGTATGCATGTGGGGGCGTGTGTGGGTGTGCATGTGGGTGTGCATGTGGGTGTGGGTGTGCATGTGGGTGTGCATGTGGGTGTGCATGTGGGTGTGCATGTGGGTGTGCATGTGGGTGTGCATGTGGGTGTGCATGTGGGTGTGCATGTGGGTGTGCATGTGGGTGTGCATGTGGGTGTGCATGTGGGTGTGCATGTGGGTGTGCATGTGGGTGTGCATGTGGGTGTGCATGTGGGTGTGCATGTGGGTGTGCATGTGGGTGTGCATGTGGGTGTGCATGTGGGTGTGCATGTGGGTGTGCGTGTAGGTGTGCGTGTGGGTGTGCGTGTGGGTATGCATGTGGGGGCGTGTGTGGGTGTGCATGTGGGTGTGCATGTGGGTGTGCATGTGGGTGTGGATGTGCATGTGCGTGCGGGTGTGTGCACATGTGTGTGTGTGTGTGTGTGCATATGTGCTTATCATTGTCTGTATGTATCTGTATCTACGTCTACATAAGTAATATTATATATCACATGTCATGTTATATTAGCATATGTACTTTCATGAGTATGTGTAGTTATTTATGTTCACAGATAGGCTGTTCTACATGTGTATATTATATCTAAACTTGTGTGTGTTAGCATTTACACGGATGCATGCATATGAAGGTCAGTCTGCATATGTATATGTGGCCAAGTGCAAATATGTATGTGTACACACACAAACACTATTCAGATTGTTTAAAAAGTAACTGTTGCATATATATTTCTGTAAGTAATTTGATATCTAACATATCTTTACTTAATATATTTATACAAAGCAAATACTGTTTAAAAAGTAACTGTTGCATACATATTTCTGTAAGTAATTTGATATCTAACATATCTTTACTCAATATATTTATACAGAGCAAATACTGATAAATAGTTTTATTTCATTTACTTATCCGGAAGCTAATATACTCAAACTTTAAACTGAAAACAACTAATTTCACAAAATTTACTTTGTAACAATCAACAGCACCTTATTCTATTTATTCACATCTCCCAATTACAAAGTCTAACAAAAAATAAATTACTTAGGACAGTTTCATCTATACTTACATTTTCTTTTTTTTTTCAAAAATCAAATAAAAATTGAAAAATAAAGAAAAAGGAAGAAATAAAAATACAAGCAGGTCTGTAGTGAGGAACCACTACATGGCTCACACTGATTAACTAGAAGAGAGAAAATGAAAACATACAAAAGCTCATGCCATTCTCCGTATAATGGCATATACAACCAACCTTAAGTGTAAAATCAGGCAAAGTTGAAAAATAAAGAAAAAGCAGCCACCTTCACAAAATACCCAAGTGGGCACCGTGTCTCATTAATAGCCAACTTAAAGGCAACACGCAACTAAATAAAGTATGAGCTGACACACAAAATGTAAAAGAAAAATAAAATAAAGATAAATACATTCAAAACAAAGTTCAGATCTGCAAATGAAGCATCTATTGGAAACAGCACTAACTTAAGATAGCACTAAACAAGACAAAAAATAAAAATAATAAAATATTAACTTTAAATTATGTGAAAACTAAATGTCACTTCAGTATGTCAGAATATGATGAAAAATACAAGCAAATGTGACCACACATTATTTTCATGCTGCAATTCCAATATCAGGAGACAAAAAACACCAATGGCTAAAATACCAGTCTTAACATTATCCAACAATTACTACTACTATCAAAAAATGTGATTTTAATACCCTTACTAATGATAAATACTTCAAATCTATCAAATACATCTTAATGCTTCTGTGTAAAATGGTAAGTTGGTACCATATACATATGCTGTGTGCATATTATGATATCCTTGTGACACCAAATTATTATCTTCAATTACAAGGTAAATATTTTACATGGTTTCCTACATCTGTTCTCATTCAATGACAATATAAAAAAGTACCCCATGGGTATCTGACTGTAATACCTCTGCCACTTCTGTCTTATGTAAAACTAGTAAATATGCATAAAGTTTCACAACCTGTAATATATGACCACTAATATCACCATGGTGCAAGAATAAAAGACCACTGCCTGTTCTCGTTTCTTGCCTCTAAAAACCCTTGAGATTATTTTCAACTCACTCCTTTTAGAGAAAGATTAATAAAAAGCAAACAAAGGTTCTTATAGCATGTTTACTGTCATGCAAATACAAATTCATAGCAGAATTTGTCACTGTATCTATAACACATTCACAAATCCCTTGATGAGAGTGTATTTACATAACATTAAATTGAAAGTTAAATACAGCACAGAAAATCCTGTATTAATGTTTCTGTTGTAGATAAAAAATAATTATGCCTTTTCTCTGAAATAACTAAGAAAAGAAATAAAAAATCTAACCATTCACAAATATCTGACAATATTCTTTATTTTCTTGAAGTTTGGTTTTAAAAATACCAAACCCCATATTTCTGGTGAATGCTAAAATTATTAACATGTCAACAAAAAAAATCCCTTCTCTTCGGGTTATCTAAAAGCATATACATGATGAATAACAAACATATCGATGAAACTTATACTGATTTTAAAAAGTCAACTCAAGCAAGGCTGAACTACACCTCTCAGAAAAAAAAAAAAAAAAAAAATCAAAATAAGAAGTTTCCTAACACCTCCTCCTCATGTATTTCATTTTATCTCTATTTGCTAAAACAAAAAATGAAACAGATTGAACATAAAATACAGGGCCTTCTGTAACCAATTTAAGTTCTGAAAGGGCTGTTTTAAAGCAGGGGGGGAAGGTGGGTTCTCAAACTTATTACTACCTGCGTAGCAGAGATGTACGAGGGTTATAGGCCAGCTTTCTTCTATAAAATACAAGATTATAGGTGAATATGTAGATGTAATTCTCTCTGAAAACCATATGAAATAAACTTTAATATAGGATCACCAATAACAAAATGGAGTGTGAATTATCAGCTGAGGACAACTCCATAACATACATTTCCTATTATAACTTCCATATAACATGAAATTTCTTACTGCTCTTAACTAAGTAATCATTCACAACCTGAAAAATAAATTCATCAACCTCATAATGTACAAAGCTTGGGAATTGTAGCATACCATCAAGCTTGGGTCATAAATACTATCATACTATTCTCTTTCACATTTTCCTATTTAGTGCTTTTAAGGTTCTTCCAACCAAAATACCTTTCATGATTTTACATTTAGAGGCTCCTCCTTGCCTGTGACTTCATACAAAAGCTCAATTACCATAAATCACTTTAACAAGGAACAAAAATATAGCATATGCCATATAAATATTTATCTCCAAAAAAAAAAAAAAAAAATGTAAATCCTAGTCCAGAAACAAAACATACATACGCACACGCACGCACGCACGAACACACACACACACACACACACACACACACACACACACACACACACACATACACACACACACACACACACACAGACACACACACACACACACACACACACACACACACACACACACACACACACAAACACACACACACACACACAAACACACACAAACAACACACACACACACACACACACACACACAAACAAACAAACAAACAAACAAACACACACACAGAGGCATACATATAGCAATGGACAGTGTAACATTATAAACATACAAATGAATGTATGTGTCTGTGTGTCTGTGTCTGCGTCTGTGTGTGTGTGTGTGTGTGTGTGTGTCTATGTGTGTGTGTGTTTATGTGTGTGTGTGTCTATGTGTGTGTGTGTCTATGTGTGTGTGTGTCTATGTGTGTGTGTGTGTGTGTCTATGTGTGTGTGTGTCTATGTGTGTGTGTGTCTATGTGTGTGTGTGTCTATGTGTGTGTGTGTCTATGTGTGTGTATGTGTCTATGTGTGTGTATGTCTATGTGTGTGTGTGTCTATGTGTGTGTGTCTATGTGTGTGTGTGTCTATGTGTGTGTGTGTCTATGTGTGTGTGTGTTTATGTGTGTGTGTGTGTCTATGTGTGTGTGTTTCTATGTGTGTGTGTGTCTATGTGTGTGTGTGTCTATGTGTGTGTGTGTCTATGTGTGTGTGTGTCTATGTGTGTGTGTCTATGTGTGCGTGTGTCTATGTGTGTGTGTGTCTATGTGTGTGTGTCTATGTGTGTGTATGTCTATGTGTGTGTGTGTCTATGTGTGTGTGTCTATGTGTGTGAGTGTCTATGTGTGTGTGTCTATGTGTGTGTGTGTCTATGTGTGTGTATGTGTCTATGTGTGTGTGTGTCTATGTGTGTGTGTGTGTGTCTATGTGTGTCTGTGTGTGTGTCTATGTGTGTGTGTCTATGTGTGTGTGTGTCTATGTGTGTGTGTGTCTATGTGTGTGTGTCTATGTGTGTGTGTGTCTATGTGTGTGCGTGTCTATGTGTGTGCGTGTGTCTATGTGTGCGTGTGTCTATGTGTGTGTGTGTCTATGTGTGTGTGTGTGTGTGTCTATGTGTGTGTGTGTCTGTGTGTGTGTGTGTGTGTGTGTGTGTGTGTGTGTGTGTGTGTGTGTGTGTGTGTGTGTGTGTGTGTGTGTGTGTGTGTGTGTGTGTGTGTGTGTGTGTATACATACATACATACATACATACATAGTTTCTCTAAATATAGATCTTGAAGTAACTTTGTGATAAAACAATTTTCATTTCCTATCCAGACTTCTTGTAAATAATATACCATTATTTGGTTTGATTTTAACACAATGCCACTGGGAAAATGAAGTGTTCATTGTAGTATTGTTTCGTGAAATGCCTCTCCACACAGACAGCTCTACATGTGCTTAGGTACACAGGAGTCAATTAGTAGAATACATGACCTCACCTGATTTCCCTTTCCTTGAGTTTTCAGATTTTTTTTTTTTAGTTATTAATATCTATGCTGTTATTACTATCACTGACATTATAATTATCACAATGTTACTAACACTATGGCAATATAAGCTCTTACTTCCAAAAATCAAGAGAAAAGGTGAACAGGTGAGACAGGAAGAACTAGTATTTGGCTCATTCACGTCTAAGTCCTTATAGAGCCATCAATGTGTAAAGACAATTAATACACTAAACTCACAGTTGGCATGGCATGTTCACAGATGCCATCCCCTGCAGCTGCAGGTTAAGCTGGCAACACTTTTTTTCACACATAAGAAAAACAAAACAAACTTCAAATAAACGCACTTATAATAACTGAAACTGAATATAAAAAATACATAATGAATTCATACACCACTACTGACAACTGTTTCCATAACCATATATCAAGAATCCCAGGTTGTTCCAATTAAAAACAGTTTCACCAAGACCCCCCTCATCAGTCCATATATTCCCTTTAAAAACAGATTACACTTGCCCCTCTCTCCCCTTTTCTTTCGGCAGGTAATGCTTCCTAATTCCTCTTGCTACAGACTAGCCTCCCCTAATGCTCAACCAAAAAAACAAAGTATCAATACTGATCACCATTCTTATGAGGTAACTTCTCAAATCAGACGTTTGAGGGTGTCTATGCTCAAGGCAACTTCCACACATTTACGATATTCTCAAATCTGGTATACCCTTATGAAGTATTCTTTCAAACACAAAATACTCAGCCTTGTCTTTATCTCTCAATTGCAAAATCACATTCCTAGATGCAACATCAAAAGCAATTAGGCTGGCCTTTGAACGGACACACTAGAAAGATTCTTTACTATTTGTTTGTGTGACTGTATGTGTACTTTGTTTATTTCATAGAACACCTGCTTCCTTTAGCAACTTAATATTGCTGTTCCATTCAACATGAAATCCAACAGCACATGGTATTAAAACTTCAAAGCAAGCACATTATACACTTGAAAAGCATGAAGCAAAAAACAAAAATCATCAGAATAAATTTCCCTCAGTGGAAGTAAAATCACCCCAAAACAATAACCAATACTGAAGCACCTATCACACAAACAGATTTATACCCATCTAAGCTGTCCTTGGCTAATAGTGTGCCATATCCAGACCACACATTCAGCACACATCCAGCATCAATGTGAAAAATATCATAGCAATGGGAAGTCCCTTTTAAAACAATTGCTTTTTGTTACATAGCTACATCCAAGTAAAGAGGGGCATAGAGTAATAGATTTTTCATTTCCAGTCATTTCTATTCCAGTAGGTATAGAACAAGTATAAAACCCTGATTCATGAACTAGAATGGAAGAAACAAAAAATTGAAACAACAAAATGGACCATTTGCTTTCTTTACAATACAATTTTAATTTTGTGATATCGTCTGTAACATATCTCTTTACACGAGAAATGGGAGCTCAGTGATGGAGCATGGTACATATAAGACAGCAAGAAGATGGTGAAAAATCTGCTAGTGACAGATGTTTCAGAAGCCTACAGCTAAAAATAAACAAATAGAAAAACGCAAGCTGCCTGTCCTTCTAAGACTAACTAACAGACTAAATCTAAAAAAAAAAATAACAAAAAAAATCACAAATAGCACTTATGCCATGTACAAAATCATAGGATATACAAGACTTACTTGTGATTTGCAGTAATACCATCACTTGTTCTTGTCTCATTTTCTGACTGCTCAACCACAATGGAAGGTTGCCGAGTATTATGGTACTTGTGTCTAACCCGTTCAGAATCTGTGTTGTCTTCAATATCTGCATCACTAATCTCTGTGGAACGTCATTACAAAAGAAATTACAACTTGAACATAAGTGAAGAAGGGATACAAGGAGTAAAACTTTTGCAAAAAAAAAACACATATCAAGCAAGACAATCCATTACACAAAACACACAATTCACAAGAAAGTGCCTAGAAACTTTATCCCATGTTTTTATTTATCATTCTTCATACTGATGGTTAAGCAAAGATTCATGGACAATCATTACATAAAAAGGGTCACTGCTTTGGATGTAAATGAGGTATGAAATTCAAACACAGGGTGCAAATGCAAGCATCTCTGGAAATGAGTACTCGACTAGAACACATGGGTACAGCAGTAGTGTCAAGGGTTGAGGGTAAAGGGGTGCAACTGCCCCAGAGCTCTAGGGGGCCCATAAAATTTGTTCCCTCTATTATATTTACTGAATTCTTGCTTTGGTCAAAGGAATCAACTGAAATGACAATTTATTTTTTTCTAGCTCACTAGCATTTAGAACAAACAAAATTTGTTTTACTTTTATGAGAGGATTGTCTTTCTTCATTGCACATACCATATCTATCATCTATATAAAAGATTAACTCCTTTGCTTGAATAAACTTATAGATTGATGAATCTATAGTGTAGAAGCCTCTACCTCAAAAGGATCCACCAAAGGAATTTTGTGATCAATTGTTTGTTACTGATATTAACATATCAATAATAATACCACTACAAATAGAAATATCTTCTTTGGAAAGAAAACATAAAGATAAACATATAGGGCCAGCACCCACAAATTACCCAGGGGCCCAGGTTTTTGATGCCCCTGGGTAGAGTTATTAGGAGTTTTTATCAGATCTAAATTAGATAAACAAGCTCTCCTAAAGGATTACCCTTGATAACTACAGCCAAGACCTGGAGGTGGAAGAAGCATTCCAATGCATAATATAGACCATATTCTTTGGAGTAAGTATTCACCATATTTAGGTGAAACAAGCTGATGATATACAATACGAAATGATGCGATGCTACATGATATCAGTAGATAAATTACCTCTAAAAAGATCATCTAAATAAGTTAAACTAATAACAATAACATTTTGCAAAAGTAAAAGTGCAGTAATTCTAGTGCAGTGAAGTTTCATCTTTAATGTGTACATTTGTCACACATTCATACATTTGAAATTCAAATGTTAAATCAGTTATCTCATTAGATCCCTGTAAACTTAAATTCAACTTAACAAAGTAATCCACCAGTACATACCTGACAACACATATAAGAAAGAAAAAAAATTGTGATTATTTACTTACCTGTGGAAGACTTTTTCTTGGAACTGGCAACGTCACTTTCATTATCCTTGACCTCATTGTCTGTCTCTTCTGATTCATCATCGTCATCATCATCATCCTCATCATCATCTTCCTCTTCGCTTTCTTCTTCATCAGCAGCTTTGGATAATCCCTTATCATCTTTGCACTTATCTGTCTTTTCCTTAGTCTCCTCAGTGTCTCTCTTTGTGTTACCTTCCGCACTACCTTCTGCTGTATTATTTTTGTTCCCTGTCGCTTCCTCTTCCTCATCATCTTCCTGATCATACTCTGAGTCTTCATCACTCTCCTCCTCGTCGCTGTCCTTCTCCTGTCTATTAATTCTTCTTGCTTCCATCAGCTGTCTGAACTTGAAACTTTCCCCTCTCAAAACACCAGTTGTCTTCCCTGCCTTGGCCTTCTGCTCTTCCTCCACTTTTGTGATTTCCTCGAGGTCTTCTGGACGTCGTTTCTCAGTCATTCGCCTCTTCATCTTCTCACTTTGTACAGTCTTTTTGCTTTGTTCTTCCTCCTGGTCTTCAGTGTTTGCACGAATGCAAGCTGGTGCAAGGCCCCCTCCTTTGGCGCGTCCCTTTGTCTTACGGGCCTTTTTCTCTTCTTTCTTCTTCTTCTTCTGCTGGTGCTTAGAAACATTGTTGTTGCTGGACTGTCTCCCAAAGCAATCCAGTAAGCTTTCATCATCCGAAGGTGACGTCTTCTTTGGTTTACCCTACAAATAGGCACATTAATTTCAGAAAACTTCTGAGGGATAAATATCAGCAATTCGGGTCAAAATCTATTGCCATAAAAAAATATAAATATTTATCACTTTGAGTACATTAATCACTATATTAACAACCAGTAGTAAACCAAGATTACCTAATTGTAAATCCCCATTAAAAAGTTACAGAATCAGTAAAATGGCAAAGATAGTGTATATTAAAAAAGAGTAAGATCATCTTTTTCAATACAATGACTTCCACCTTGTTAACATACAAGTTTGCAAAAAGACCTGTTACAACTTATCTAGTGAGATGAAAATCCAGCACTTACCTTTTCTTCATTAATGGGGAGAGAAAGATCCATGAATGGCTCAAACACTTGAGATGACCAGTGACATTCTTCACAAAAGACTGCAAAGGAGAAAGATGTAAATGAGACAAATCATATCTATTGTATAATGTAAACAACATTTCTCAAAACTGTAAAAGCAGAAAGTAGCTCCTTCCAACCCACATGGGCATAGGCCCTTCCCACAAACTAAAATAGAGATAAAAAAAAAGAACCAACGGTACCAAAACTGCCCCGTTAATTCACCTGTGCTGATGAGATGTCCTCCGAAGATGTGGTCGACCAAGGTGTGAGTTGCCTGCTTGCCATAGCCCTTGATCATCGTCTTGAGCCGTGGACTCACTGTGTTGGGGTCAGTCTTCTCTGAGAGAGCAAAGGCTTTGAGAATGGCTCTCTTTGCTCTCAGGATTTCCTCATTACGTATGGCATCCAGGAGGCAGCGGAGGAGTTCGTGGGCATCTTGCTGTTCGTATCCTTGGAACTGTGTGCTTTTCTTGCATATCTGCATTAAGAGAGATTTTTCATCATCAATCTACTGGTATGCCTCTTCATTATTCACAAATGTTTTATGTGTTAATGTGTCTAAAATCAAAAAGGAAAAAACTGTCTTTGATTCTATCTTTTGGAGCTTACAGTGAAAAACTGTAAATCAAAGTAAATCAAAGCGACAGCCTTTTTTTTTTATGGAACAACAGCTACCAAGACAAAAAAAAGTATTATAGAACTCTAACTTCAGAAATACATCCAGTCCTTTAAATTAACATTTCTTCCATTATATATTTAAACATTTAATGCATACACAACTAAACTAAGTTCTGATTATTTTTTTACTCCCTTAGTACTGCCATTTCTCATGGTGTTATATTGAAAACTAAAATTATTAATAATACAAGCAGTACTGACTACAATTACTTAAAAAAGACTAATCACTTATTAAAAATAAATAAATAAATAAACAAAAATAAGAAAATAAATAGAATAACATAAAACAATATAAAATAAAATAAAACAAAATAAATAATAATTATTATTATTAATATAATAACAACAATAATAATAATAATAATAATAATAATAATAATAATAATAATAATAATAATAATAATAATAATAATAATAATAATAATAATAATAATAATAATAATAATAATAATAATAATAGTCATAGTAATAGTAATAGTAATAGTAATAGTAATAGTAATAGTAACTGTAACAGTAACAGTAACAGCAATAATAACGGGGACGATGTTAAGGATACTGTTAATGTTAACCCATTGCCGCCGGGGATGGCATGTACGTACATGCCATGCTCACTGTGAGTCGACTTGTTCCATTGTTTTTACACATAGATGGCTACACTTGTACTAAGTATCCAATGAGCCAATTACGAGTACTGCCTGTCTCGCCCGTTCACCCTTGTCATCGATTTACGAAAATATTTAACGTTATCCTAATTTGCTGTTAAAAATAACACCATCTCTATTTATAGCACTAGTAAGAATACGTTTTTTCCCGCAAATTCGAGGAAAGGTGAAATCAGGACTAGCAGAGCCATCTATGGGCAGAGATATTTCACAAAAATAAAAAAAATGAGTACAGAATTTTCCCCATTTTTTGTTCATTTTCCCCAGCGGCAATGGGTTAATGATAATGACACTAACACTGACAATGACAGTGACAATGAAAATGATAATAACTATGATTACCATTATTATTATTATCATTATCATCATTATCATTATTTTTACCATTATTACTATAATCATCGTCACTTATATTATCACTATTAACCCCTTGGTGCCGGGTGACGCCAATCGGCGTGTAAACAAAGCGCTCGAAAGCTGGCATGCAGCCGAACGAGCCGGCGGCGCACCAAAGCGCGGCGAGCCAGTGATTCGGGCTGATGTCCCCTACTCACGCGCTCAAAGTCGGTGCGCCGCCTTTGTTTGTTTAAGCGTAGAGTTTTTTTTTTTGTTTTGTACACCCGGCGCCATTGAGTTAACCCCTACAATCTGAATAACAAGACCAAAAAATTTGGCTTGACAGATGACATAAACATGCCATTTTAGTTGAAGGCCTGGGTGACAGGAATGCACTAAGCTCTTGGAGGGTGATTAGGCTCATTTGGCATTAAAGGAGGGGCTTTTGCATTATTTCCATCAATAAACAAGTGTGGAATGTATCATCCATGTGCCATGACTGGAAGAGCACTAGCTCCAGGGAGGATGCTATTTCCATGCTCAGAGTTCTACTCCTTATCACTATCATGATTTTTATCAAAATCATAATTGCTATAGTAATTACAATGATAATAATAAAAAAACAAAAAACAAAAACAGAATACCCTCTGAATTTTCTCAAAACATCTTACACATATAATGTGTAATGTATGTATCACTTACTGTAGAATCCGTTCCGTGCAACTGTCAAAAAAATGCCCATACATATTAGCAAAAAAATAAACTCTATAAAAGAAGCCCTCTTAAGAAATGAGAATGTCAAATAATAGCGTTAAAAATAAAACTTCAACAATAGGGAATAAACACACATGAAAATACAGAATTGGCAAAAGAAGATGTGATCAGATGCAGAAGATACAGAAAAGAATGTCAAGCTAAAGAGGGTGACTGTAGTTGGAAATTTTATCATATTTTCAACAAAAGAGAAAATCCAGTGACTATCTATATTTTCCCTGACTGCAATCTTTGCCTTTTTACCTTCCTTAGGCTAGCTTATCTATACAAATATCACAGCAATTACTATGGAAGAGCAGGAATAAATTGTTGGCTTTTATTTTTGCAAGAACATCTTTGTCAAGTCATTCATTTAAAGAGGAAAATGGCAAGATGTTAGTATTATTTCCTATGTCTTATGAAGGGTTAAACTACATTTTCCAGCATCCAATGTTTTTTTTTGCAAGTACAAATCTAAATAACAAGACAATGGACATGCTAGATACTTTTT